TTGAATTACGAAACAAACCAAAGTTTTCACATATTTAAAATAGGTCTTGTAAAGTGATAACAAAAGATAAATTACATAGCATTAATGTAAACATGAAAAAAATCATGAAAAATATAATTCTATGCATACATAAATATCTATCCTAAAATATTAAAATAAAATATATTTTACTAGAAATTAAAACTAATTAAAATAGGAAATATATACTAAAGAGTAAGAATATATTCACATATATGACAGTAGCAAGGACCAAAATAAAATAACAATTACATACCCAAATCACAAGAAATTAAATTTCATCAGTGACTACAATAAAATAAAGTAAAGTTCATTAGCTATACTCGAATAAATGGAATATTAGAATGTGACAAAATTAAAATAAAATAGAAACAAGATACTTAAATTAAAGAAATAAAAGAACGGAAATGTAAGAAGGTAAAATATTAGGGGTTAAGAGCTAAATATGTCCATGGGTTAGAATAATTATTAATATAGTCAGAGGATTAGTAATTCAAATAAACCAAATTAAATAAAGGATTGTGACAACAATGCAAATTCACGCTTGAAATAAGGAGTCTTAAGCGTAATTAACCCAAAAACTTGATATTTAGGCTAATATTAGCCATTTACACGTAACTTGGTAGCCAGAACCCTAAAGTTATGTTTTTCACTTCTGCTCTCCCCCTCTCTCAAACGGCACTCCTCGTTAAAATCAAATGGCCATGTAGGAGCCATCTCCTCACCTCCGGCTACCAATCTCAGCGGCTACGACACGCCTCAACCACTTAACGAACCGAACGCCCACTTTTCCTCTCTCTATTCTTTTCCTTTCATTCTTGACCAAAGGCTTAAAACGCATGGTCAACCACCACGAACGGTAGTGCCACGAACCGAACAACCCCAAAACTATCCTAAGAGACCATAAGCAACCACTGACCCTCCTAGATCTAAACCGACTACTCACATTCTCGATGCTAGACTCAACTTCCAACAACGAATGGACCCCGACTAAAGACCATTCACATGCAGGGTATAACCAAAAACCTTCCTTATATTATTATTATATATATATATATATGTATATATATATATATATATATATATATATGCATAGTTGTTTTTATATCTGAAATCAAAAGAAAGTGGAACAAACCATGACTTTTGAGAAAGAAATGCTCCTGGTATAATAATGTTGCTTGCCCGAATCTGATTTTTTTATTACTTTTTCGAATGATTTTTTTCTTGGATGGTTACAAGATTTTTCGAATGATTACAAGATGCTCCCTCTTTTCTAAGCCTCGCCCGAATCCTCTTTTTTTCCTCTGGTACGAATAGATTCTCCTCCTTTCTTTTTTTGTTCTTATTTCTCCTTGATTTATCAATGACCTCTTTACCTAATCTCCATGGTTGTATCTAAAATTTCTTTGTGTTTGGTATGGAAATGAAAGGTTTAGGTATGATTTATGGATTTGCCTTTGACTTTGGAGATGTTTAATTTTTCCTTGATTTGGTGCATTATTGGGGACTATGATGATTCTGGATGGCTCTGCAACGATGGCTCGGCTCGGCTGCTCTTCGGTGGCTCATGTGTCGGTGAAGGCTCGGGTCTCATACATCTCCTGTGGCTGCTGAAAATTGGAAAGTCAAACAGTGGCTGATTAGGGTTTTGAAACCCTAATAAAGTTGGGCCAGGTCTTCTTTTTGGGCCAATTTGCTAGGTTGATTCGGATATGGGCCTGAATCGGGTCTGGGCTCCAAGTTTCTGGGTTATATTGGGTTGTTGGATTAAGTGTTGAATTTTGGCCTGCAAATGTAATAAATAATATTAATAAAAATAACAATAATAATAATAATATATAATAATAATATTTTTTAAAAGTCCGGATAAAAACGGGTGTCTACAGCTTCTTTACATTTTAAGATATTCAAATTTAATCTCAAATATAATTTAATAATTCAAAATTAAAAACTGAATAATATTTTTCGATCATCGAAAATCGAAAGACTAAACATGTTTTTTGGGTGTTAAAAGTTGCTCTTATTTCTTTCTCTTTGGAGCTTTCTATTATGATGTATTTGACGAAGGTGGTGATGATGAATCTATTGCTTGTGTTGGCGGTGATATCTTGCCAACTTCTTCTAATAAAGATGTTCATGATGACATTTTTCGTATAAAAATAATGGATAGTTTTGTCCGTTCTTATAGCACGTTTTGTATACTCTTGTAGGACATTTTCTCTCTTTTTTTTCTCAAGGTCAGGATTGATGCCAACTATTTAGTTGATATTTAGTATTTGATATTCTATTGATCACTCTCTGCTTTATACATTCGAGTTGATTATCTTTTATTGATTGACACTCGCACTCATTATAGATCGATTGCAATTAAGAGTCTATTTGTTTCATAGAAAGAAAATGATTTTCGCAAAATGAATTACATTTCTTGTAAAATACTTTTTAGAAATCATTTTACGATGTTTGAATAAAATTGTGTAAATCATTTTCCACTACTTGATAATTTTTTAGAAATTATTTATTATAATAAATGCAATAAATAATATTATTTATTTAAAAATAATATTATTAAATAATATTAGTTTTCAAATATTAGAGTAATATATTTAATATTATTTATGCTAATATCATTATTAATATATTATGTTAACAATTTTATAAATAACAATATTAAAAAATATTATATTTTATTAGAATAAAAAATATTATAAATTTTATTAAATATATATTAAAATAGGAACAATATATTATTAATTATATTAATTACTTATTAAAATAATATTTTATTATAATTTTAAAAATTATAATATTTAAATATTTAAAAATTATTAATAAAAATATTTTAAATATTTAATAATTCAATAAAATTATTTTATGAAAATAATAGATAATATTAATTTTATAAATAATTTATCATTTATTATTAAAATAAATATTATATACTATATATTATAATAGTATACTTAAATATATTATTATAAAATTAAAAAAATATTGTATTATATCATTAAATAAATACTAATTAATAATTAATATTTTCATTAAAATATACTAAAATAGTATATTAATATTAAATATATAAAATAATAATATTTTGGGTATTTTTGTGAAGTGAAAAGTTTGAAAAATAACAACTAGTTGATATAGTGGGATAAAGCACTAGATTCCTTAAATAATGTGAGGAGTTTGAATTATGGCGTTTATGTATGGAGCAAATTGGGTTGGGAGGGTCACCCCAAAATGGACCTCTGTAAAACTCGACCTGAATTAGTCAGTTAATATATCAGATACCAATGATTAATTCAAAAAATTCAGAAAATAACTTACGAAAAATCAGAGCGTAAATCATTTTTCAGAAAATACGAAAGAAATTATATTGACCAGGAAAATGAATTATATTAATCATATGTTTTCTGCCACCAAACACTTAAAAATAGAAAATATTTTTTTGAAAAATCAATTACTGAAAAACAAACAGACCCTAAATTGTGATAAATTTAAGGGTAAAGTATATAAATAGTTCCTAAACTCTTAGGGCACTTGCATTTTGGTCACTCAACTTTTGAAACTTGCTATACAATCATCGAACTTTTAGTTTGTTTTCCATTACCTCCTCCTCCATTAAAACTTCTTTCACTCTTTTCTCACTTGTTTCCTGATCTTTCCTTCCATTAACTCCTTCACCATCTTCATCAACACTTCCCATTTCATAAACTTCATAATCTATACGCTTTTCAACAACGAGATTATATAACCAGTTAGAGTGCAGACATATATAGAGGCAGCTGGTCCACCCTCAGAGGTTAGTTATGTTATTTTAGGATATGAATTGAGAATTTCTGTGGAAAAAAAATCTATATTTACTGTTTCACTTCTCAAAATAGATGTGTTTCTTACTTCATCTATTTTATTGCCTCTTAATAAACTAATGAATTGTTCATCGCTTATGAAGTTCATGCCAAGCAATGAGCCCAAAATTTTCAAGGAACTGCATTTTGATTAGAAGTCCATGGTGTTTTCTGTAGACCCATTTGAGTTGTTTTTATTTCAGCAATTCTGCTTTCTCAGTGACTTTTTAAAATCAAGCCAATTAGGGGCAACTGTGTTTTGGCCTTGTTATCAGTTCCGAAGATCTATTGTCTTGCTATGTTGCATCATTTGGGGCTGTATGTAATTTTTTTAGTATCTGGTTATATAATCTCGTTATGAAAAGATTCAAATTTTACGACACAACTTTAGTGAAGGAGTTAATGGAAATGTTGATGAAGATGCTGAAGGAGATAATGGAAGGAGAGATGGGAAACAAGGAAAAGAGTGAAAGAAGTTTTAATAAAGGAGAGGAAGGAAGAGGAGGAGAGAGAGGAGTTAACGGAAATTAAGTGTCACGGCAACAAAAACTAACAGTAGGGACCTTATTAAAAACGAACTAAAAGTTCGATGATTGTATTACAAGTATCAAAAGTTGGGTGTCCAAAATGCAAGTTCTCTAAAAGTTTGAAGACTATTTATACACTTTACCCTAAATTTAATTTGTCAACATATTATCATTGTTATATGAATTTTTATGTTAGTGTTGATCATGTTTCTCTCTTATTGTCAATAGTAGTGACAGATCCAAAAATTTATGAATAATGATCCAAAATTTTAATTTTCTTTTCTTAAAAGTAATGGCTATGCAAATTTTTTTTTTCTTTTTTCCTTAACACATTAAGTTAAATTTAAACATTTTCACAAAATAATAGGATGCATTTAACCCTACCGGAGCTTAGTACATCCACCCCTGATCAATAGTGATGTTTGTTTGTATCTGGTATTTTTTTTATTGAGTTATTTGATGGAGTATTTAACCTTTTCCTTAAATGATCTATGTAATACCTAATTTTTGTCCAATCTACCATTTTCAACGCCCAATCATTTTTAGTGATGATCAACTATATAAATACTATGGCATGCACCTTGGAAAAGCGAACCAGATATAAAAGATTATTACCAACAACTAAATGCTCATTCATGTCCAAAACAAACGAACTCAACAGTAATAATATGCAGCAATTCACGATCCCTTAAAGCCAAATTTTAACTGAAGCAAAGTAGAGTTTAAAGTAAAGGTTCCTTTATCTCATCTTTTAGCTCTTTGATGACTGCTTTTCCTTGCTTTTCTGGATTTTCAAAACCTTCTTCACTATCTTCTGTTCTTCAACCAAAGAGGCCCTAATGATCCTGTACGAATATAAATCAGTAATTCGACAAATTATTCATCATTACAAAAGGGAAGAAAAATTGCTTCAGCAGTGAATTGGATATTGAAATTAATAAATTTCCGATGGCGCACCTTTCCCTGACCGCACTACCAGATAACACACCACCATAGGCACGGTTCACAGTCCTTCTGTTCCTAGGTAGCCTAGACCTCTTGTATTCCGCAGGCCTCAAATGAGGAATCTGCACAAAAAAGAATATTGAATAAGTCGGAAAGACTCCTTACTACATGAAGTTGTCAGTCAACTAGCAAAATCAGCATGAAACAGAATCTAGCACCCTGAAAACAATCGAAACAAACCATTCCGAAGGGAATGGGAAAACACAAGTTTTAATCCTAAACAAAGCATCATCTCATCAAAACATTCCCATTGTTCGGAAACACACCACACTATTTACAGGACAATATCCCACTCAAAATATAAAATTGGAGCAGTAATGCAGTATATTTTTGAAAGTATGACATTGAAGTAGAATTAAACAAAATGTTACATTCAAGAACAAGGAACGCGGAACATAGTTGTTGCACATCTGAGAATTAAAACAATCTATATGACAAAAACAAACTAAAATTTTAGCAAATTTCAATTCTACCTGCCTTTGATTAGAAAAACAATTTACAAATGATTAGTGTGGATACACGAATATATCACATTACACAAAAATAACACGAACACAACACAGATACACTCAAAATATAATACGAATTACAAATGTATCAAAATAAAAAATACGTAAGATACTTGACACTTGACAAAATACACAAACAATACATGTATTATACACGAATTGTTGGATCTAATTATATTAGAATTCGGAGCGATTCCTAGTAACAACCCATCAATTCAAAACCTAGTAACAACCCATCAAGTCAAAAAGAATAATTTTTCATTTTCCTTGCCCACCATTTTTCAACATCCATACAGGTATATTTAAGATGACATAGATAGCATAAACTAAAAATTTTATAAGAACATACCCCTTGGATCCGTTTGCCGGTAACGGGGCATTTGGGTCCGCTGGCTCTCTTCTTAGTTGTCTGGTAGACAAGTTTTCCACCTTCGAAATTAAACCAATGTCAGCGGAAAAGAAATGATTTCATCGCTATATAAATAATCCATTGAAGGAGTATCGATTTACCGGGAGTTTTGACGACCCGATGCTGGTTAGACTTGGTGGCGTAGCTATGGCGCGTCCGGTACGTCAGCCGCTGAACCATTTTTCTTCCTCAGCTTCGGTACTCTCTCTCTTGATGGAGGCGGAGACCGGAAGGGATTTTGTTTCAGTGAAAATAGCGAATTAAAGCTTTGGGATTGAATGACAAATGATGCCCTAAATCTGACGGCTTCGATCGTTTCTTTTAACGGTTGGGATTTTGTATCTTTAGCTCCTCCATTATTTATTTACTCTTGCGAAATTATATAACTCTGTAAAAAATACAAATCTTCATAAAAAGATCTTATATTTAAAAAATTAAATAATTAGAACAAGTAACATATGTGACAGGTTTTGAACATTATTTTTTTAAATTAAAAATATAATTATTTATTTTAATAACTTTGTCTAAATATTAAATAATTAATTTAATAAGTAAATTATAAATTTGATCACTTACTTTTAATCTATTCTTAAGTTATTAAAGTTCAAAACTTTTTAATTTATCCAATATTTTTTTAAAATTATTCATTTTTTAATTTTAATTATTCTATTGTTAAATATTTTACAACAATATAACATAATAGGCGAGGGCGACACATAATTGATGTCGTTTTGAAAATGTCTAATTTAGGATTTTTTTTACCTAAAAATCATTATCTAATAAATTAATACTCTTTAACTAATATTTATCAAAATATCAACCTTTCTAATAAAGTGTGTTTTGCAAGCACCTTAGGATTATTTGGCAACGCGCGTGGAAGGCGTCTTTCCTCCAATAATACCACTCTGATTTTAGGGTGAGGGTTAACGATTTAGGTTTATTTTTTAGTACTTTATTTGTTTTTTAGGGTTTAGGGTGATTATAAGTAGGGTAGGGTTAGAGTTATCAGTCTAGGATTATCGGTTTAAGATTTAGGGTAAAAAATTATGTAATTGTTAGTGCTCAAACTCATGATTTAAAAATCACCAAAAATATGAATAAAACTTTTAACATTAATAAGAGTTCTAAAATTTCAACATAAAACTTTTAACACTAATTTTTAACTTAATCTCTAAAGTATTGATTAAGTTGTAAAAATACTAGTAATATATTATTTTTAGGAATAAAAATATAAAAATATTATATTTTACATGAGGGGCTATAAATAGGTGTGAAATGCAAGCTATTTACTCTCACTTGAAGAATAAAACATCTAAAAAAATTGTCTTTCACATCTAAAACTTCAATTTTTTCTTTACATATTTACTTTTGTTGCAATTGTTAATTATGAATCCAAATTTTTTAGTATGTCTTTCAAAAAAAATATTCAACTAGACGAGTTGATCATGAAGATTGAAAGAAAGGTTTAATCGGACGAAATAGAAGATTATCTTCGTTACATTTTAAATTGTCAATATTACGCACGAAGTTTTCTCTACACCATGATGTTGGCATTGTTGGTATGTGTCGGAACCGTATTTCGGTTGGACCCCGGAATTGGGCTTCGACTTAGGAAAATGGATTAGAGTCGCCACCGATCATTTATTTTTATTTAAAAAAAATGGGTCGATCGGATACCTTATTTCTTACCTGATTTGCATCGTGCCAAAGATGCGTCGGATTCGGGAGTCAGTTACAGTCAAGGAAGGGTTAGCACCCTTGAACTGCCCTTTCGGTACTACGTAATTTCCAGTCGTCTTAAGTTAAGAAAATTGAAAGTTTAAATTGAGAGGTAAAATTGTGATCCAAATTACTTACCTCCGATTGATTTGAAAAATGTACCCTCTAAAAGTCGAGAATGTGTTAGAGAAAAAAAAGGTAAAGAGAACCAATAAGATAAAGAGAATTTATTAAAAATAAAATAAAATAAAGAGAAGAATAATGAATAAATGAAATAGAAAAGATGAAGAAAGAATAATAGTAAATACATAATATATATATAGTAATGTTAAAAAAAAAGAAAAACCCCACATCAAAGTATTAATAAAATAAAAGAAAATATATATAGATATAATAATAATATTTAAACAACTCTCCCCTCACCGAAAGTGAGGGAAAGAAAATTTGCTTAGATGAGGACAAAGGGGGCCCGGGTAATGATATTTCAAAGGTTAGGTTAGATACATTATAATATATATATATATATATATATATATATATTAATATAAATGATAATAAAGACAAGAGTAAAAAAAGAAATAAAAATAATATAATGTAATTATAATAAAAACCGAAAAAATATAAATATAAATAAAAATATATATATATATATATATAATTATAAAATATTATAATAGTAATAAAAACCAAAAAATAATAAAATGAAAAGAATAAATAGAAAAAATATACATACGATTATAAGCTATAGTACTTGGAATAATATATATATATATATATATATATATATATATATATATATATATATATAATAGGTATATAAATGAAATATTACAAAAATATACGTATATGTAAAAAAAGTAGAAAAAATAATATGGGTTAAATTGAATTAAAAGCAAGTTGGGTGGCCAAATTAAAATAAAATCGGGGTTTTAAAATCGAGTTTGGGATCAAAATAACCGAACTTTAAAATTGGAGGGACAAAAAAGGGTGGTTTATCCTATATTTTTTGACAACACGCGGGTCATGGCGTGTGTGGGTTGGATCGTGGAGGCCCGATGGGTCTAGTATAAATCCCAAAAAAAAAGTTTAAGCTTCATTTCTCTTCTTCTCCTCACGAAAGCACCCCCTCCCTCTTAACAATTCTTTATAATGTTCTTTCAAATGAAGAACGAGGGCCCCAGTTTCCAGATTTGGTGACCGTTACCGCCTCGACGCCGCCTCATCGTCGTCGTTGAATGGCGGCGACCGCCGTTCATCGGTGACAAAACTTTTATTTTATTTTTTTTTTCAAAAATCCCGAAAGCTCTTTCTACCCTCTTTTTTAAAAATCAAAACTTTTTTTAAAAAACAAACGCCTTGGGGCTAGATCTAAAACAATAGATCTCGAAAACGCCCCGGTCATTGGCCAAAAGCTTTTCTCTTTATTTTCTTTCGAACCAAAACGCAACAAAAGGAGATAAAACGGGCATGCAAAGGACCACACGAATGACAAGGTAAGCAAAAATATACCTTTCTTTTATTTTCACTTCGAAAGAAAATGTTTCCAATGCCTTTACAACACTCTCAAGTTTTGTGTGACTCTCGTAATATCTCTCTGTGTAAGTGTAGATTGTCTGTGTATTTCGTCTGTAGTCACTTGTGCATAAATCTCTGTGTTCATTGTGTTGGTTTACGAGCTTATTTATACACAGAAAATATGCTATTTTTATCCTAATTTGAGTCATAATCGAACTCTGTTGTGTTGGTTGTTGGTGTCCCATACATGCACGTCGGTTGGAGGCCAAAAATGGTGGGATTGCTGCGTGAAAAATGACGATCGAGGCGTAAGGCACGGAGTCTTTGAACGGCTGAAAACAAGGATGAGAAACTAGGGTTTCCCGGTTCATGCATCTATCGGGTCTGGACCACTAGGGTGTTTTTGTTGGGCCATCCTTTGCAATGGGTTTCCTTTGGGTCTGTAAAGAGAGAGAAAAAAATTTAAATAGCCTATAAATTATAAAATATATAATTTATAGTATATAACCATATATTTGTTTATATAAGGATGAAATATAATGTCTACAGTTGCCCCTCTTTGTTTATTTATCGTGTAACAGAAATGGAGCAAAGATTTAAAAGACACAGATTTCGTCCGTATCGAATATCCTCTGTCATAGAGTTGAAATCCGATATCGAGGCTGGTTTGTCAATTTAAATCACGAAATGACTCCCCAGTCGTGAGGTTGAGTTGAAACTGGAAAATTCTGAGCACGATATCCTTCGTCATGAAGTTGAAATCGAACTCAAAGGTTTAATGTTTTAAGAGAAACATTTTCAAAGGTTTTTTTGTGTTTCAAGAGAAACTGTCTCAAGAGAGGCAAAACTTTGTTTCAAGAGAAACATATTCAAAGGTTTTGTTTCAAGGGAAACTGTTTTCAAAGTTTATGTTTCAAGAGAAACTGTCTCAAGGGAGACAAAATTTGTTTCAAGGGAAACTATCTCAAGACAGACAAAATTCATTTCAAGGGAAACATTTTCAATGTTTATGTTTCAAGAGAAACTATCTCAAGGGAGACAAAATTTATTTCAAGGGAAACTATCTCAAGAGAGACAAAATTCATTTCAAGGAAAATGTTTTCAATGTTTATGTTTCAAGAGAAATTGTCTCAAAGGAGACAAAATTTTGTTTCAAGGGAAACTATCTCAAGAGAGACAAAATTCATTTCAAGGGAAATGTTTTCAATGTTTATGTTTCAAGAGAAACTGTCTCAAGGGAGACGAAATTTTGTTTCAAGGGAAACTATCTCAAGAGAGACAAAATTCATTTCAAGGGAAATGTTTTCAATGTTTATGTTTCAAGAGAAACTGTCTCAATGGAGACAAAATTTTCTGTTTCGAGGGAAACTATCTCAAGCGAGATAAAATCTTGTTTTAAGAAAAACAATCTTGAGGGAAATAAATCTTCTTTCGAGTAAAATAGTCTCAAGTGAGACAAAGTCTGTTTTAAGAAAAACAATCTTGAGGGAAATAAATCTTCTTTCAAGTAAAACAGTCTCAAGTGAGACAAGGTATGTTTTAAGAATGACAATCTTGAGGGAAATAAATCTTCTTTCAAGTAGAACAGTCTCAAATGAGACAAGGTTTGTTCTAAGAAAAACAATCTTGAGGGAAATAAATCCTCTTTCAAGTAAAACAGTCTCAAGTGAGACAAGGTCTGTTTTAAGAATGACAATCTCAAGGGAAATAAATATTCTTTCAAGTAAAACAGTCTCAAGTGAGACAAATCATCTGTATTAAATGAGATTGTCTCAAGCGAGACACAATTTATATCGAAAATGTTGAATCTGAAGATGATTGTCCCCTCTTGATGAGGATGCCTTGTTGTCTTTTAATCTCATCTTCTCCTGAAAGATCTGTAAAATATATCTGGATGCAACTATCATGATGATGGATGTTTGATGTATGCCAAGATGAAATTGATTTATTGTTTTATTGAATTTGTCCTCAAAAGAGGAAAAATCAAGGTCTCTATTGCACATGATGATGAATGCAAAGACGCAAATTTCATGTGT